ACACGGACTGCCCAGGGACCCCCAAGATCCAGGGAACGCCAGTGATGGGATCGTTGGCATGCGGCCTGCATCCAATATCAGACTGATCATACCCATCAGCTGCAGTACTTCCACCAACTGCGGAGGCTGCAAGAATCTGAACTGACGAAGCCGAACTCATCGAAGTCGGCCCAGTACTGGAACTGCTTGTGCTATCTCCTCCTGCGTCGATCCACTGACCTTGGAGGTTGGCGGTGAACGTGTTAGGAGCCAGTCGCGCACTGACCTGGAGCGCCATGATCAGGGCTGCGAGTACGACTCCTCTTGGCTTTGTGGAGCTTGTTGATGAGCTCGAGCAGCTTGGTGGCCTCGTCACCTTGGGCTGCGGCACTCTGCAAGTCGTTCCACAATTCTTGAGCTTCCTGCAGGTTGAGTTCGTCATCGGTGCCACGCTTGTTGCTGGCGTCGGTGCCCGCTGCGGGTGGAGATTGCTGCTGCTCCGCCTGCGGCATGGGCACATCCTTCTTCTTGAACTTCTCTCGAATGAGCTGCTGGTACTTGGTGAACACGGGGTCGGCCGAGAACTTGGCATAGAACTCCACGAGCTCTGGCACGGTTTTGACCTCTTCGCTCTCCGTATCCAGCTTGAACGTCTCCTCGTCGAGCGCCTCATCCTTAACATTGGTCGAGGGCTGCTGCGGGTTGAGCTTGGCCGCACTCTCGGCGACCTCTTGCTGCAGTATCTTGACCTCGGACGTCTTGGCGATGATCGCGCTCTCTTTCCCTGAAATATCTTGTTGTAGCTGTGCCATCTTGCGCTGCAGCTCTTCCAGCTCGCTCTGCTGCCTGACCAGCTGCTGCTTGGACTTCTCGAGCTTCTGCATCGCTGTCTTGTGCGCCGTGGCGGGGGGCCGCAGCGCTTTAGCCTGAGCCCGAAGATCTTCGAGCGCAGCCTTGTTCGCGTCGTGCACGGCGCCGCCGAACTCGGCAGTGTCCCTGACGACCTTCTCGTGCACCTCGATCTGCTTGAGAATTTTGGCACGCTTAGCCTGAGCTGGGTCCTGAGCAGCAGCTGCTTCTTCTTGTGACTTGTCATTGTTGCCACTCTTGACTTTGCGAAGCTCTGCCTCTGTGGCCTTGAGGCGCTGCTCCATCTGCTGAATGTACTTGAACTCGGCGCTCCAAGGGGCTGGCGACGGGCGAAGACCTGAGCCACCAACTCTCTTGGACGGAGCGCCTGCTGCCGCTGCTTTGTCTGCCTCACGAGCTGCTGCCACCACCTGCATCGGCGCGCTGGCGCCGCACAAGCATGTGACTCGGCTCGCCCAGTTGGCCGCACGGCCACAGTGGCTGCAGCCCCAGTGCGGCTTGCGCGGCCCGCGCAGCACTGCAGGGCTCGGCACCATGGCTTCGACTCTGCTTGGGAAGGGGCTTGGACCGACAGGCACCTTCTGTCGGGATCGGGATCCCCTGAAATAGACTGGACTGGTTTGGTGAGATGCCTCAAAGCGGAACCTCCCTCGCGCTCAGTCGCCCCGAAAGACTCGCGGTCGTCGGGACGGTTCATTGCCTTGAGCCAAAATGGCTACGGAGGAGGAGAAGGAGGAGGAGGAGGAGGAGGAGGAGGAGGAGGAGGAGGAGGAGGAGGAGGAGGCCCTGAGATCCCGGCGTCTCGTTTCTTTCGAGCTGGGCGTCTTCCCCCGGGCGCCGGGCCCCGGGGCCGTCACGGCTCGATGCGGCTCGAGGGAGGCCACAGCCGGAGGGGCTCTCCAGGGCTTCTGCCGTGGCTTTTCGCACCGCGCCGAGGGGGCCCCGCCCAGGACGAGCAGAATACACCCGCGGGGACGCGGGGTCGGGGCCTCCCGGGGCCGCGCGTCGGAGACGGCACCCTTTGCGCGGCACAGCACCCCCCCAAAGCAGCTTCGCGGTCGCGATCGGAGAGGCCACCGTGGGAGGTCCTGACGCGGGGGGCCGCGACGGGGGGCCACGGCGGGGGGATCGGCATAAAGGGACAGGGGGGAGGGGGATCGGGACGAGGATGGGGATCGGGATGGCGACAGGGCCAGGGATCTGGATAGGGACGGCAATGGTAGGGGGCCGCATGCGAACCCTACCCCTACCCCCCACGATTTCTGGGGGGGAGGCTGGGGTTCACTTCGTTCGGGGGAGCTCCCGAACGAAGTGAACCCCTCCCCCCAGAAATCGTGGGGGTAGGGGTATGGTTCGCATGCGGCCCCCTAAATGGGAGGCCACAGGAGGCCACGTCGTCCCACCGACTGCGGATTAGGCAGCCCACCTATCAGCCTTTGCGGCCCCTGGCAGACACTGTGCTCAGGGATAGTCGCATCGTCGGGTGCCTGGGCATGCCGACGCCGACGCTTTCGGCAAGAAAGCTCGGCATGAGCATGTCGGAGGTTGTTGCTTGAGCCCCCACCCCGCCAACTCGATGAGCGAATGTTTTTTTTCTCGTGCCGACTCGATGCCGATGCTTCAACGCGAAAGTTCTGCACGAGCATGCCCCAGACTACTTTTGGTGGACTATTTTGAATATTCCTCCTGTAGAGGGACATGCCCGACGTAAGTCTGGTGGGAGGCCCCTCCTCCTCCTCCTCCTCCTGCTCCTGCTCCTGCTCCTCCTCCTCCTCCTCCTCCTCCTGCTCCTCCTCCTCCTCCTCCTCCTCCTCCTCCTCCTCCTCCTCCTCCTCCTCCTCCTCCTCCTCCTCCTCCTCCTCCTCCCCCTCCCCCTCCCCTCCTTCCTCCTCTCCTCCTCCTCCTCTCTCCTCCTCCTCTCCTCCTCTCCTCCCTCCTCTCCTCTCCTCTCCTCCTCCTCCTCCTCCCCCTCCTCCTCCCCCTCCCCCTCCCCCTGGCTTCGCTCGCCGGCCTCCCTCCTCTCCAGAAAAAGGGGGCGCCGCGAGGTCGTGGGGGCGCGGAGGTGGCCGCGCGCCCGCCGCTTTGCGGGGCGGGGCGCGCGCGGCTGCAGTGGAAGCCCATGCCAAGAGACGCCCTGCTCGCCTCAGGCCGGGCATACTCCAGATCTAGTAATAAAAGGGAGGGGGTCACAACCCTCCCAGACGAGAAGTTTTAGACCCCCCAGACTATCCATCAAAGGGCGGCCCTTTGCCCAGACCCCCCCCGAACCCTCCAAGACAGCTCAAATTAGTCGAAGCATGCGGACTGAAAAGATCGTCCCCAGATTACTTTTGGATCATTTTTTGAATACTCCTCCTGTAGAGGGACACGCCCGACTCGACGCTTGCCTCCAGGGTGCCCTCTGTTTCTTGGGTTTCGATGGTTCTGCTGTGGAAGGCGTGACGTTCCCGCACCAAAACACCGATGGACGTCCTGGGGTCTCAGGGCTGGGTTTCTGGTGGAAGGTTTCTTGTGGTCGGGCCCCTACTGTAGATGGGTCGGAGGATCACGCCGCATCGCCGATGCATCGGCGATGCGGCTCGATGCGGAGTCTGACTTTCCCCACGCCGACGCCGCCGATGCACCGCCGACGCCGCCGATGCATCGCCGATGCCTCGGCGATGCACTGGCGATGCGGCGCGTTCCTCCGACCCCATCTGCTCGGACCCCATCTGGGACGTGTGCTCCCAGACGTGCTCCCC